TCTCCAGTATAAAAAAAAACAAGAACAACAACAACAACAACAACAAGTCTTTCATCTTTGCCTTTTTGCTTCTGTTTCTCACAGTAAACCTGGCTAAAAGCTATGAGCAACACCCATGCTACTGCCTTAATTCTGCGCTGCCTTGAAATTTCCTCTGCCGGATTCACTAGTCCRTCTCCTTTAAATTCAGCCTCAGAGAAAGTCTCAGGACCCAGGAAAAATGCAGACAACTTCTTTGCCAGAACTTAACACAATAGCCACTAGTTGAATTTCCAATGCAGTCCCTGTTCCCTCTGAAACCTTGTGAGTACAGTCTTTACTGTCTACATTCCTATTAGCATTCTGGTCTTCTGACCTTCATCCAGAAACACCCATTAAGCTCTGATTACAACATTCTAAGGCTTTTCCAGCCTGCATGTCCAAACGTTTCAAAACTCTTCCCACTAACCAGTTCCAAAGGCTTTTTTATCCCATGGTCAGGTTAGTCACAACAGCGATCTCACTTCTGACACCAATTTCTGAGTTAGACAACTTGGAGTCACTGTGATCAAAATTCCTGACAAGAACAACATGGAGAAGGAAACATTTATTTTGGTTCTTGGTGCATGGCTGGCCAGTTCCATTGCTTTGGCCCCAAGGTGAGGCAGAACATCATGATAGAGGAATGTCCCTTGGGTCATAGCAGCCCAAAAGAAAAGAAAGAGAGCAAGGAACCAGCAAGCCACCATAGATTAGTGAGCTGATTAGGTTCCAGCTCTCATAGTTCAATCATGAGCTTTCAGGGGACACCTCAGATCCAACCATAAGAGTGAATATGGCTCCGTTTTGCCTTTGCTCTTCTCCATGTGAAACAAAGCCTTCCTCCTCTCTGGGGATACCATGCTCAAAGTGCCATCTTAGAATCAGAATTCGCCAAATGAGCTGGTTCCTTGATATTAGACCTCTGGTTTCCAGAACTGTGAATCAATAAATTTCTGCTCATTATGAATCACCCAGTCTGTGATATTCTGTTAGACTAGCACGAACAGACTAATATGGGTCATCAGATGATTGTGAAAGTGTAACATTCTCCTGCCTAGATAAGAGTCAAGAAGATACACTATGAGTCTGGAGAAGAGAGAGACGTAAGATATCTAGACAGCAGAAATTAATAGTGATTAATTACGACTGTTTTAGTCAGTTTGGGCTGCTATAAYAAAGCACTGTAGAGTAAACAATCAACAACAGAAAATTATTTCCCCTAGTTCTGGTGGCTTGAAGTCAGAGATCTGGGTGCTAATGTGGTTCATTTCTGGTGAGGGTCCTTGTTATAACTTCACATGGTGAAAAGAGCAAACTAGCTAGTTCTCTAGGTGAGTACATTTGCTTCATTCATGAGGACTTCACAATCATGAACTAATTCCTTCCCAAGGACTCTGCTTCTAAATACTATTAGATTGGGATTAGATTTCAACAGAACAGTGACTGAGCAATATCCATTCGAAGCAATTGTGTGCATGGGTGGCCAGTTATGAAGCCCCAGAGTACAAGCCTAGCATTAGTCTTCAAGGGCAAGGAAGGAGAAAARGAAATTCATGGAATATACAATAGCAAACGGCCACTAGTCAGTCAGAAGTGTATGTATGTCTTATCAGGCAGAACTTTGGATTTAAGACTTAAGAATAAGCTTAGAAAATTGAAATGCTTAGGTTTGATTGAGAAAGAAAAGTCCTCAAAAGAGACAAATGGAGGTAAGAGACATAGCATGGATACAGTATTGATTCACTATTTAGTGGGAAAAGATTCGGTTTGGGACAGAGTATGAAGGGTCTGAATTCCAACTTAAGAAGTCTGAATTTGGGCTGGGGCTGGGGCTGGGGCTGGGGCTCAGTGGTAGAGTGCTTGCCTTGCACAGGTGAGGCACTGGGTTCAATTTATTTATTAAAGTAAATATATATATATATATATATATATATATATATATATAGTATGCATCTACAACTGAAAAAAATATTAAAAAAAGAAGTCTGAATTTATACTGCTAGAAAAACGAGTAAAAGGCAAAATTGGAAGAATAGCAAAAAGCATGTTTACTTAAAGCAGGATTTTTGTAAATATATATATATGTACATAAATATGTATACATTTATTTTAGTTTAGTTGTAGAAGGACGCAATATCTTCATTTTTTAAAAATCTATTTTTTTATGTGGTGCTGAGGATAGAACCCAGTGCCTCACACATGCGAGTCAAGCGCTCAACCACTGAGCTACAACCCCAGCATCTTAAAGCAGGAATTTGTTATCAGGTTTGGCTTTTAGGAAGATTCTATTACTGATGAGAAGTTGGGAAGAGGTGAGCTTAGAGGTGGGAGAAGAGTTTGAAATAGTGTGGTTACCATATACACTATTCAACAGCAGCGGTAGTGGGTTGAACAAGAAATACCTATTTCTAGAGACATATATAAGGCAAACTATGAATCCCATTGGGAATGAAAAAGGAGAAATTAAGGATAAAACTAAGGATTCTAGCTCAGCAAGATTTACAGACTGAAAATTTTGTGTCCCTCTAAAATGCACGCCTTAAAATCCTAAGGTCCCATGTGATAGTATTTCAAAGTGGGGCCTTTAGGGAGTAATTAGAGTTTGATTAGGTTGTGCGGGTGGGGGCTCATGATGGAATTAGTACCCTTATATAAAAAGGAGAAAATGCAGCATTTCCCTGGCCATCCTGCAATGTTTTAAGATTTCTGGAGTTAAAAACAATAATCTATTTTCCCAAGCACTGTTCAGGTTTACACAGCTAACAATGGCCAGCATGTTCTCCTTCTAATATCATGAACTCCAAAATGGTGTTGGCACAGCCTTTCTAAATGGTTTCTGTGATTTGTATTTCATCCTTGTTGGAAATCCAGGGAATCATATTCCCTTGTTGCATCCTCTACCTTCTCAGAGATGAGACAACCAGCAAGATCAGTTGGAAAAAAAATTTCATTGAACATTCTGCTCTAACAGAATGAGCCTTTTCAGAGTATAGACATACAGTGTTTAATCATGACACTTATCTGCCTCTAGGCCAGATCTGAAACTTAGAAGAGCAGCTGTCATATTCTTTACCTACTCAAGATACCTGTATTGGGCTCCCACAATATTACCTGTTTATGTGTGTCCTCTTGTACTCTCATCCTGCCTCYCCTGGGCTTCAACCTACTTGCTCAAGGAATTCCATGCAGGGCACCCTTCCTCTTATCTCAATAGATAATCATTTTCTTTATACAACATGCAATCTCTCATTGGCGTATTCCAGCAATTAGCTGTATCTATGCAAGTTTGTGCCTAGGAGATCATATTTATCTATCTGAATTACACTTTAGGTTTATGTTATGAGTCCTAATAAAAAGGTATGAGCGTTATAAAGTTTTTCTCAAAGATTTAGCTGAAACAAAGTCATTTCCCTTTCAATATTTTAAAATGGAACCCTTTGTAAAGTATTATAGGCATTGAAGGAACAAACTTAAGGGAGAATTTTTTTTCAATTTAAAAAATAACTTATTTAATTTTTCCATAGTGAAACGGAATGAAGTGTTTCTTATTTCCTCTTGTGAATCAAGGACATATGTTTTTCAATTACTAGGTTGCTGCTAACTTAGGTTATACCTGGTATTCTCCAGTTATCTCATTTTATTATTTTATCTGAGTATTGTTTTGGACTCACCTCAAATTTCAGTTTAAAGATCTATCAGGCTGGCAAGATGCCTGCTAAGTGCATCTCTCAGCTCCCAGAAGAGGTACTCTGCACATTCTAGGCAGTCTATCGTATTGATAGTATAAATGCTAGTGAGAAAAGCTAATATGGGTCTGATTTTCCTGCTTTGGTGCAGTGCTACTTGATACCCATGACTTTTTTTTCCTCCTTCTAAGTCATGGCCACAGCTAGAAGAAAATACGAAAACTCCCTTCAGATTCTCCTATCCAGCGCCTCTGATTCCATCAGTCACCACACTTGGGTCAGCAGGAGCACAGTGTGGCCTGTAGATCTGATCAGTCTGAGGGAAACTTTCTCGTGATTTACATAACATGAAAGAGAAAGAAAGAAGATGACTTCCTTCTTTCCCGGCTTCAGGAGAATTTGGTCTGGACAATTATACTCTGATTTTTTCCAGTGTAGGCCTGCCGGCTCTCCGTGCATTTGTCTAATGTTTAAAGGATATGTTATTAATACAGAAAAGGATGTAGACAGTATTGTCAAGGACTCCTTTACAGGCCTCTAAAATACTGACCTTTACTGATGACAGTTTTCAAGGACTACTCTGTGGGACTTAAAATCTAAAGTTGGGCTTGGAAGTGTGCCAGCCACCAGAGAGACAAAAAGAGGAATGTTGCCTTCAGAGTTTGCAGTCTGGCAGGGCAGCGCACCCGAGCACAGCAGCAAGATGAGGTACCACAGAAGGTGCCTTTTGTGGAAGCAACAACAGGCTTCCACAGAAAGGGTCACCCGATTCACCCGCACACTAGGCTCACATGAGCCCTTTTGAGATGGTTTTATAGCAACAAGCAAACATAAAAATCACAATTATTTTTGAATCACCTTAGAGTATATTCTAACTTAATCAACATTTAGTCGAGGAAATAGATGTCATAAGAAGAACTCCACACACATAAGAATAATAGTCTTAAATTGCATCTTGATGAGATTTTTATGACAAAGTAAAATTTTCAAAAAAAATCTTCCATCAGAATTATAGTGAATACATCAGACACTAGAAAGGCAATATGTCAATCAATGGAAGGGTAACTGATGTGATACAGCAATTTGTATACGGGGTAAAAGCGGGAGTTCATAATCCACTTGAATCAAACCATGTAATATGATGTATTAAGAACTATGTAATGTTATGAACGACCAATAAAAAAAAAAAACAAAAAAAAACAAAAAAAAATAAAATTAGAACCAAAAAAAAAAAAAAAAGAAAAGAAAAAAGAATTATAGTGATACTGAGAATTCAACACCGAAGTTACTTACTTTTACTATGATAAGCCTAGCCAGGTTTTCACACCTCTGATTATCATTTTCTGTATATGCTACTTCAAAGAGGGTATTATAATTTTCTAGGATTTTAGCCATTATCTTGTTGCAAAGGTCCTGTTCTTTCATGCCTTCAAGCCCAGTTGGCACACTAGAAATAAGAAAAAAAAAAAATTGAGAGGAATTACTTAGCATAAACAGCAATGCCAGCATATCTGACTCAGATTTATATTTTGACACCTCCTGAATGATTAGCCTTCTTATAAAGACACATGGGATTTTCAGTAAGCTCTATGGTAACGTGCATGACGTTGTTGGAGCAATTGGTAAGTTCCCAAGATCTGAATCAACAGCTTGTGCTGACTAGGGAAAGTCAGCCTACTCCAGAAGAAAACAGATTAGCACTGATGTTGCTGATGCTTTGAATATATTAAAACTCTGAATATATTAACACTAGTATGTCCAAGATAACATACATATAAAAGCAAAAGTGAAAAAGAATGAGTGTTATCAGGATAGATTACTATTATCATGAATAACTGCAGCACAATCTGTATTAAAAGATTTTTTTACATAATATACAAAAAGTACAGACATTAAAGGAAAAAATGAATACTTCTGGGGGAAAAAGAAGACAGCTACTGTTGAACCTGAGAGATGAGTACATGGAAGATTTCCACGTATCTATCACTCTGCTTTAGCAAGAGAGATAGCTATCTCAGCTTCAGTAAGAGAAATAATCGTCTTTCTTGGGTGTTTAAAATTTTTTGATAATAAAAAAAAGWTGAAAATGAGTCTGAATGCAGACTCATTAACAAAGTAAAAAACAAARCCAAAACCAAACAAAAAACAAAAAAGACCCAAACTGGAAGAAACTATCTTCTTCAGTAACACATATAGTTGACATAGGATTGGTAGTTAGACTATGCAAAGAATTCTTACTTATCTAAGAAAGAGAACCCATTCAAAAGAAAAAGTGACAAAGGACCTGAGTTGAAACACTGCATTTAGTGCCCACCCAGATAATCCATGATGATTCTTTTATTTCAAGAGTCCGGTCTTGATCACACCTGCAGAGAGACTTTTTTCCACATAAGATAACATCTGCAGTATCAACTAAGACCTAATGTCTGAGAGGGATATTATTCAGCCTATTAGACCATCTGCAGGGTCCACACTCTAAGGTGTCTCCCAGTGAATCACAACTTTATATAATCCCTTCTGGATGCTGTGACTTGCTTCTAGCCAACAGAATTTGCAAAATTGATAGGATGTCAATCTATGATTCGTTACATTATATGAGATTCAGTATTTGCAGATCAGAGATATTCTCCTGCTAACTATGAAGAAAGAAGCTGYCATGCTGCTAGAGGGCCTCGAAGAGGGTAAGAGCATAGATGGCAGGGGACTCTGGGGACCTCAGGCAGCCTCCAGCTGTGAAAACCCAGTGAGAGTCTGGCGTCCTTAGTTGTGCAACGACAGCGAGATGGAGCCTGTCATATGAGCTCAGTGAGTTTGAAAGCAGATTCTTTCCCAAACTCAAACCTCAGGATAAAAATGCACCCAGCTGCTATGTTGGTTTCAGTACCGTGAAACCAAGAAGACAGAACCCAGCTATGCAGCACCTGGATTCCTGACCCATGGAAACTTGTGAGATAGCAAATGTCTATATTTTTAAGCCACAAAGACAGTGACAATTTGTTATGAACAGCTTTGTATCTGAAAGTGAGGTGCTGCTATAATAAATATGTAAAGCTTGGGAGTAGTTTGGATCTAGCTACTGGAATGACATGGGCAGAACTTGAATGGCATCGAAGAGAAAGCCTACTATGCTTTGAGCAGGTTGTCAGTGGAAATCTGGACTTTRAAGAAACCATTGGTGAGGGCTCCAAGGAAATGAGGAATGTGTGTGAACTGAAGTTCTCCACACAGGCTACGTTTGTACTTGAGAAACTTCAGGTTGTTCCCGGATTGAAGCATTGAGACCTCATGGAGATAGAGTAGATTGGAAGCCAAAGTTGTACTGGGCCATTTTTAGTCCCTCTGACARTGTCTGACCTAGCATTTCTGTGACCACAGGATAAGTGTGTATCAAGTTTGACAGACCTTGGGCCTATCCTAGCCTTAAGGCCTTAAGGCTGGGAATCRGGCCTGAATCCTGTAGGGGATTTCTGGGTATTAGTGAAATATCTTTTTCTTGAAGAAGAATCTCTGCTTCTTTTGTAGTTGTCCAATTTGATGACCCCACCCACTTTCTTTTGGGAGTACAAAAACTATGCAATCTTCTTCCTGGGAGAACCAGGTCCTTTGGGAACTCTGTCCTTCCTGAGGTCACCTTGTTGACTCGAGTTTGTGTTCCTGTGGCATGGTTTTCATTTGGGCTCAGAATAAAYCATTTCCTTATTTTCTCCAAGCAGAGTTGTTACTGTCCACTGTCAGGTGTTATTGGAAACTGGAGGGAGAGATATCCTTGTTATGGTGGCAGAAAGGTTAGCAAAATTGGATCCTGAAGTTATGTGGAAAGCAGAACTTATAAGCAGTCGGCTTAGTGATACTTTTCAAGTGATTTCCAAGTGATGTTTCAAAAGTGCCACCTGGTTTCTTTTTGTCACTCCAGTAAAATGCAAAGGGGAGCAGAGAAAGACACGGAGGGGAAGAACCCCCACAAAAAGCAAATGACTGTAAAAATTCTCATACTCTTCAGTTGGCAAAGGACAYGAAAATTAAGCAATTCACTGTTAGGGAAGAAGACTTCACAGAAAAGGTTGAGAGTGTGACTATAAACCTTTGGCTAAAACCTCAGAAAAATCAAAAGCTCATATTATTATGAGTCATACTGAAGACCCTGTTAGATGATTAAGAGTGTCTCACAGATCATTCCAATCAAATCAGAGGACTTTTAAAAGGCATTCTCTTTTGGCCATTTTAGCATGAGCCAAAGATTTAGAAAAGTCCTGCTTGGCAAAGGTCTGTGAATGTATTTCTTTTAAAATTGGAGTGAATCCCTGTGAAACCCACAGAAGACTCAACAAAGTTTTTGGAAATACTTATTGCAGCAGACACACTGTCCACTTGGAATGGAAGGACAGAAGGCAGGCTGTTGTACCTCCCAAACTGTGTTGCCAGGGAGCAGGTTGATAACACTACGTGCTGCAAAGATGTGCTGCCTTTCATTTTAAAAAGTATGATTCAGAGTGCGGAAGCAATGCTGCATGGGGTGAAGCTGAAACAAATCCCTAAGTCTTGGAGGCTGGTCCTTAGGGAATGAAACTAAAAAGACAAGATATCTATTAAATACAGAAATACATTTAATACACACTTAGCTATACAGTATATCTAAGGTGTTGAAATTTGAATTTAAAAAGGAGTTTTAAATTTTAAAAAAATTCAAAAAGATTCCTCAGGAGAAATACCAAAAAGAATCAGAAACACTGCTCTTATGCCTCTAGTATGTCAGTGTGAAAGTTAAGTACTTGCTCTTGATCCATCAGATCCACCAGGTGGTCATGGAATAATGCACAGAAGAGTGGGGGCTTTCAGGCCAAGAGGCTAGTTGGGGTGGGGTGGGGGGATTCTGAGTTTTAGAAAATGAGGTTCAGGTTCTAGCTCCACTGTGCATATAGTGTGGCTTTTGGAAAGCTGTCTAACTTTGAACACTTGTTTCTTCATTTGCCAAAACAGACATGTTAATAAAATTTTAAGGATCTTGTGAGAATCAAAATTTTCAGAATTATGTTAAGAGTACTTTGCAAAACTATGTGGGAGTTATGGGAATGGGGTCTCTCTTTCAAAATATTTTATTATATTACACTTCTCCTTGTGCTGATGTGAGATCATACAATACCTACAGGATGAGATGAAGGGAGGTGAATGACACGCTAGTAGGACACTATTGACCTCTGACAATACCTTAGGTGGAGCGTCTGCTTTGGGTGATGTTGGATCACTGAGCCATGATGATGTGGATAGTTGGATGTTGGGAGCAGATGTCAATGACTGGTGTCCTTGATAGTTGAAGGGCTTTTTGTTGATGCCCTCTAGAATAACATTGAAATTGGAAWTCATTGTTTCTTTCTTTTTATTTCATCCAGTGTTAATCTTTCATGATCAGAGAGATGACATGAATGCTGCATCCCATACAAGGATCATATTCCATAATTTTGTCCTTTAATATCTGTGCAATTTGAATGATGTTGGCATATTCTGGTAGCATCTACATTGCTGGTTCTGCTTTGCYGTCCCCTATTCTTTCTCTGTAGAGGACAAAACAGGTTCTTCCATTTCCTCATTTGACACTTTGCAAAGGCCTTCAATATGTTCTTGCATTTCTTCATCAAACATCAGCAAATGCTTCTCCAACTTGCCTTGCTCAACGAATAATTTTTCAGACTTCTCCATCAGTCCCTGGGAAGTCTTTAAAATCATTCTGGACTGAGTTCTTCTAGCAGATATTGATGGCTTCTGGTTTTAATTCATCCATCACAAAACTGACTRATATTATTATTGCTTAAATATTATTATTAATAATATTGTATCAGCAATAGTGAGTAGTTTCCAGCATTACATCTAGATTATGGTCTGCATCAACTGCTGACTAAATGTGATACTAGGTAGATGTTCATAGCTTTGAAAAACTGAATAATGTCCCAATGGAAGGGCTAAAGAAATGAGGTTGTATGTGAGAATAAAAGTAAAACCTTGACGCTTTCCTTTTCATCCTCAATAGACTGAGGACGACCAGGTGCATTGTCTACTAGTAACAGAAMTTTAAGTTATAACCCATCCTATTCAAAATATTGTTCACATCTAGGATGAAGCACGGGTAGAGTCATTTCATAAAGATACCTGTCACCCACGTTTCTGGTTACATTGCCAGAACATGGGTCGTTTTGATTTTTGTTTTTGAGAGAGTGTGGTTTCTTCACTCTGTACACTATACCTGGCTTTATCACCGGCCTTGCAACATGCCACATAGTACCAGATGAATCTGTCTCCCCATGCCTTATGGTCTGGTGCTGCCTTTACACTTTTATGAATGTAGATTCTTTTGGGTAACTTCTTCGAGGAAATTCCAGTGCTGGTCGCAATTGAAGACTTGTTTGAATTGTTATCCTTTCTCTTTACTCCAATTGTGCCCGCAGTGTGGCAGCA